CCCCACACCACACCACCCACCCCACCACCCCCACACCACACCACCCCACACCACACCACCCCTCACACCACCACACCCCCCACACCACACCACCCCCACACCCACACCACCCCCACACCACACCACCCTCACACCACACCACCCCCACACCACACCATCCCCACACCACACCATCCCCACACCACACCACCCCATACCACGTCACCCTTCATGCCACCCCAAGCCCACCTCCGCACTGCAGTCCTATACACAATCACACCCCTGACACAATCTCACCCCGGACACAATCACACCCTGGACACAATCTCACCCTGGACACACACCATCACCCTGGACACAATCACACCCTGGACACAATCACACCCTGGACACAATCACACCCTGGACACAATCACACCCTCGACACAATCACACCCTGACACAGTCACACCCTGGACACAATTACGCCCTGGACACAATCACACCCTGGACACAATCACACCCTGACACAGTCACACCCTGGACACAATTCGCCCTGACACAATCACACCCTGGACACAATCACACCCTGACACAGTCACACCCTTGACACACCACACCACACAATCACACCCTGACACAATCACACCCTGACACAATCACACCCCTGACACAATCACACCTGACACAATCACACCCCTGGACACAATCACACCCTGGACACAATCACACCCTGGACACAATCACACACCTGGACACAATCACACCCCTGGACACAATCACACCCTGGACACAATCACACCCTGGACACACAAGCTTCACACACACGACCTACACACACGACCTACACACACGACCTCACATAATACGACCTACACACATGACCTACACACACGACCTACACACACAGACCTACACACATGAACCAACACATGACCTACCACATGACCTACACACATGTCCTACACACACACGACCTACACACATGACCTACACACACACAACCCACACACGTGACCAACACACATGACCTACTCACATGACCCACATGTCCACACACACGACCTACACACGACCCACACACACGACCTACACACGACCTCACACACACGACCCACACACATGACCTACACACATGACCTACACACACACAATGACCGACACACATGACCCACACACATGACCACCACATTCCCACATGACCTACACATGACCTACACACATGACCTACACACACACGACCGACATACATGACCGACACACATGACCCCGACACACTGACACACACACGACCTACACATGACCGACACACGTGACCAACTCACATGACCTACACACACGACCTACACACATGACCAACACATATGACCTTCACACACGACCTACACACATGACCAACTCACATGACCTACACAAATGACCGACACACATGTCCTACACACATGACCAACACATATGACCAACTCACATGACCTACACACATGACCAACACATATGACCTACACACATGACCAACACATATAACCTACACACATGACCTACATACATGACCTACACACATGACCTACATACATGACCTACACACATGACCTACATACATGACCTACACATATGAACTACACATCAGAACCTCCACCAACAACATCGGCATTAAAAACAACAACAACTACAACAATAACTACAACACCACAACCACCACCATCTACAATAATTACAACACCACCACCACCATCACGACAGCAACAACAACAACAACAACAACTACAACACCAACACCACCACCATCACAACAACAACAACAACAACAACAACACCATAACCCACAACAACAACAGCAAAAACAAGTCATAATAACATCAAAGATCCTATCACAACCTCCACTAACAACTTCTTCATCAACAACAACAATAACTGCAACATCAGTAAGAATAGCTAAATTACTAGCAACAACAACTACAACAACAACAACAACAGCAACTACAACACCACCACCACCACCAACTACGACAACAACAACACCACCACCACCACCATCACCGCCACCAACTACGACAACAACAACAATAACAACAACAACAACAACAACAACAACAACAACAACACCACCAACTTCGAGAACAACAACTACACTACCACCACTAACTACAACAACAACAACAACTACAACACCACCACCACCACCACCACAACAACACACACGCCAGGTAAACACTAACAACAAACACAACAGGAAGTTCCCCCCCAACTAGGAGGAGTTTGAGCGTTTGTAAACATTACTCAAATGTACTCCAAACACGGAACAAACACTCCAAACACTCCAAACACGGAACAAACACTCCAAACACGTAAGAAACACTCCAAACACGGAACAAACACTCCAAACACGGAACAAACACTCCAAACACGGAACAAACACTCCAAACACGGAACAAACACTCCAAACACACAACAAACACTCCAAACACGGAACAAACACTCCAACCACACAACAAACACTCCAAACACGGAACAAACACTCCAAACACACAACAAACACTCCAAA